GCCGGGTCGTACGATTTCGTGGTTCGGGGCCCTCTCGAGTGGGGCGGTTGTGACGCTTTACGGTGGACTTGCAGTACCTCGTCCTCCTCGGAGTCGGCCGACTCCACAACGGTTTGGGTGCGATGGACCAGGTGTCCGCTGCGGCTTTGATGCGCTTTTTCGAAAACCGCCGCATCCTGTAGTGCCTTGGCCAGCGTGAGGTCGTCCTGTCTGATCAAACGCCTCCTCAGTTTTGCTTCTCGAAGGCCCACCAGGAACTGATTGAGCAGGGTGTCTTCCAGGCTGGAGAACGCACACTGTGTGGCGGCCCATCGAAGGTTTGCCAGGAACTCGGCAGCTTTCTCCTCTGGGCCTTGGACTTTAGTGAAAAAGTCCATTCGTTCCGCAAACTTCGTGGGCTTCGGAGCGAGGTGAGCGGTGAGGGTCGCGATGAGGTCATCAAAACTCTCCGCTTCCACTTCTTGGGGAGAGATTAGATCCTGCAGGAGGAGCAGGGTATCCATCCCACAAAGGCGTATGAGATGTGCCCTCTTCATACCTGCGTCGGTGACCCATAAGCACGTGAGGTAGTTCTTTAGGATCATCACCCACGTTGTCCATCGCTCAGGATGTGCCAGGTCAAAGTGAGCAATGCCCTCGTGCGAGGTCGCTGTTGAGGCGGCGGCGGCGGCCGAGGTCGATGCAGAGGATGGAGTGGAGGAGGATGAAGAGGATGGAGTGGAGGAGGTGGGGGCCAGCTCCGACATCTTTGCGCGTGCGCTTATCCGCTGTTACACTTGGCGAGGCGCGGTGCCGTTGGCGAGGCGAGCTGGCAAGGCGAGGCGAGCGGAGCTTCCCCGGTGGTGGGATGAGGCAAGGCTGGCAAGACGCGGCGAGGGCGGCGAGGCAAGTGGCAGAGCTAGGCGAGGCGAAGCGGGGAGCCGCGGGGTGAGGCGAGGAGGCGAGACGAGCGGCGGAGCTTGCCAAGACGATGCGAAGCGAGGCGCAGCTAGACGAGGAGCGTGGCGTGGCGTGGCGAGATGAGGCGCCGATGGTGAGACGAGGTCGGGGAGGCGAGCGGAGCGTGGCGCGATGCGGTTGAGCGGTGATCCATACGAGCGGCGGCTGCTGCGGTCTCGATCGGGCTTGGTGCGTGCTTGATCTCCTCCGGGTCTGTTCAGGAAAGGTATAATCCCATCCTCGTCGCCAGTGAAAAGTACTCAGAAACGTGGAGTGATTTCAGCAAGAGTACTTTATTTAAGCAGGAACAAGACAAGGAACGCCGGCTCGCAGGCCGGCTTATATGTGCTGTAAAACCCACCACCAAAACACACCCCCTACTCCCTACTGGCTATTTACAGAAGCCGAGAGTCCCATAGGCTCTCGGCAGCAGACCTGGCCCTCTGATAGGTGCGGGCTAGGATCCGCGGGGCTATTGTTCTCAAGGAACGAAGCTTCAGGCTTTTGCACGACCGCATGGCCCAATGGTCGCGCACGTGGTTGAGGCGAGTACATTACAGATGCCAAAGTTAGCTTGCTAATAAACTGGGCTGTGGGATTCTCTGCCACAAGACGTAGAGACAGCCAGGAGCTTAGATGGCTATAAAACAGGATTAAATGAATTCATGGATGAACCATCTGTCAGTGGCTGTTAACCTTGGTGGTTGAATGGCACCTCCCTGTTCAAAGGCAAGGCGCACTTTAGATGCTGGTTGGTGTGGGGAAACAGCGGAGGAAATTTTTGGTCTGCCTTCCTAGCTTATAGGCCTTCAAAGGGCATCCAGTAAGGTGTTGTGGGGAACAGGATGCTGGATGGAACTCTTGTGTTCTCTAGCAGAGTCCCAGTAAGTAAGCCCCAAAAACTCTGCCTGTAAAGGGCAAAAAAAAAGAGAGCAAGAGTCCAGTAGCACCTTAAAGACTAAAATTTGTGGCAGGGTATTAACTTTCATGAGTCGCTGCTCAGTTCTTCAGAGGGGCAAAGTTCACACGTATGACCGTGGAAGCTATATGTCCTGTGTTTTCCACTCTTGCTACGCTTCTCCCTGTAACTTTCTTCCTTTCTCCTCTCTTCTTCCACATGCTGTCATACTGTGAGTAGAACTGACTGGCTGAGGTAATTCCGTGGTTCTGTTAAAAAGCTCCCAAGGAGCAGCAATTCCCTTGGGAAGGAAGGGAAATATGTTTTTGCTAAGAATGTGTTGTGCTTTTTTCCCTTTTCTTTCCCTCATCTCCTTCTAAACGTTGCTATTTGAGTTGCCAGAACACCCAATTTGTGTGTGAAACTGCATTCGCTGCCTCAGAAATGAGGCAATAATTCCAGCAAAGTGTGTATTTGACGTATGGCTCCAGCAAACGTACCATTTGATGGATCTTTTTGTCTCTGAGAAGCATTTCCTCCTTTTGATGTATTATGTGAAAGAGAATTAGTTTCATGGGGATTTCCAAGATGGACTGTCAGGCATAGAGCTTAATTGAGAAAAAAGAGGTCTGGAGAGGAACTATGACTCCCTCCATCACCGCCCGACTCTTGTTGCCTGATGGGTCATCTCTGAATGGGGATTGGTCAAGCCGAGAGCAGCGCAGGGTTCTTTCCGTTACAGCAGGATAATGAGTGTGTGAAATGTCCGTGGGTTCTGCAGCACGGCTCCCACTTTCCGCACTTCAGCTGTAATGAATACAAATCTGCCTTGTTCTGAGTCAGACCGTTGTTCCCTCTAGCCCACCACTGTCTGCTCTGGACAGCAGCAGCTCCTCGGGATCTCCGGGAAAGGTCTTCCCCAAACACCAGACTTGCCAGGGATCAGACCTCGGACCTTTTGCATGCGAAGCAGGAGTTCTGCCACTGAACCACGCCCTTTCCGAATGAAAGAGAGGAGGAGCAATGTAGTGGGCTTCCCTCTGCCTCTCCTGTCATGTGTGGAGGAGGAAGGGGAGAAGGGTGCCATCCATCTCCACCCCCGTAATGCGTTCCCATCTTCTCTTGCAAGCGAGGGATGCTGGATGGGAGAAGGTAGAGGGCAGGTGAGCTCTTCTGGTGCTCTGGTTTTGCATCTAGTGTATCCAAATGGCAATTTACGATGTAGTGAGGGACACTGGCTAAAACTACTTCTGCAGGGCCAGTGTTTATATCATGTCTTGATTTTTCCGAGGCAGCCAATACAAGCTCTGTGAAAGCCTGTGTCTCCGGGCTGACGACAGGGGTTATGTCCTCCTCGCTCTTTCTGCAGTTGACCTGCTCCGGACATGGGAAGGGCCAGGGCAGCCGATGGCAAGGGCCTGGAACTGAGCAGCACGTCCGATGGTTGCTCCCCTTTACGATTGCCGCAGAAGCTTTAGCCCGCCAGCCCAAGCGTTGATGCAAACTACGTGACGGCAGCAGGAACTGAAAGGCAGCCCAGGCCTGACGTTTATTTTGGGCCTTGGGTTCCTTTGGAACATAGGACACCTAGCTCTGCTGTCAAAGGTCTGGCTGCAGAAAGGGTGCCGGGAGCCAATGAACAGCCTGGCCTTGGGTTGCCCCTTTGCCTTGGCCAGTCTCCTGGTCCTGCTAAAGAGCTCCCACCTGTTTCCCCCTCGCTGAAATGAGATGGGAAATGACTCCAGGTCAGAAAGGCTTTTAGGTATTTTTAGCAGTTGGCCTCTTGCTCTTCGCGTGTGGGGAGTGACAGAAACCAGGTCGCTGGGATTACCGAATAACAAACGGAAGGCCTTTGTGAATCTCTGTTTCCAGGCCTGGGTCTGTCATTCCCATGTTCATCCACCAGCCTCATGTGCTTAGAGCTAGAAAAACTAAACGCTGTGGCTGGATGAGGTAGGCTGAAGTGCTTGCTAAGCTCTGAGAGCAGAACCCCCTCCTTTCCTTGCTTGTAGCTGTGAAATGGAGTTTAAATTCCAGGGTCAGTAGAGCCAAGTTGCTTCGGCTTCCGTGACATTTGCAGCAAAGGTGGCCGACTTCTGTCTTCTCCAGCGCTACTCTAGCATGCCAGATGCAGCTCAAAAGGCCAGCACAACCCTGGTCCCTCTCATGGTTCGTTGAGTATATAATAAAGTTATCCTGTAGCAGTAAGGACTTCACAAGTATGGCCTCCTAGTACGTGAACAGCATAATGTCATTAACTGGGAACTGAACAGCAAAGATACTCCTGCAAAGACCACGCTGCCACCGCTGTCTCCCCCCCCTCCCCCCCGGAACTTGATAGTGGGTATTTGCTTTGGGGATTTTGTTTGAGGTGGCCGTGCAATGACACATAGATGAAATAGCAGTGATTTCTTACTGCCAGGGGTACGTTATGTGAAAAAATATCACTTTAATTCCGTATCAGGCAGGGCACGAGTATCACTTTAATAAAATAACCGGAGTGTTGTGAACATTCTGGAAAGTCGTTCGAGAAATATTGGGAAAATGCTCCCGTATTTTTTATTAGAACTAAGTATTCCCTTCCCAGTTCTCCCATATGGAATGAAAATGAGAGAGAGAAATGAATAGATCCCAGCTGATTGGTGGTACATAGGACCTTTAAATGTTAAAGCACGTGGTTTCCTGTGGAGTAGACCTGGCCTCCAAACTCCAGTAGCCAGGGCTAACTCCAAGGAAATAATGGCCCTTAAAATTTTAATTTAATTTCCTGTGAGTGGTGGACCTTGCCATCTCTACAGTTTGGAGGCCCCAGGAAATAATAACCCTTTAAAAATTTAAAGGGCAGCATTAACCAACCAGCTGTAGGACATGCATCCATCTCGCTACCTCTCCTGCCTTCCCAACAGGATTCCCAATTCTGATATTATCAGGAGTGGTAATATCGAACTAAGGAAGTGTGCTGGGGAGATTGCAGTGGTATTGGATGCTGCCAACCCGATCCAGTACCCAAAATATCAGTCCTTTTATCAGGTCGGCAGTTTCTTAGTTGCTGCTTCTCCTCTCAAAATCATCATGCTGAATTAGTTCAGGGAGAGGACAGTATTCCTTGGATTTTCAGGCTTCCGTACCCCCATTACTGAAATGACTCTTCTTCTTTTAAAAGACTATGAATTCGGTGTTTAAAACAGTCCTAGATCTGACGTACCCAATCACCTCCATGTTCTCCGGAGCCTCATTCAATAATGGCATCAGCAATATCTTCAAAGACAAACAGATTGAGGTAAGAGGCTGGCTTTACTGCATGTATTACAAACAGTAACATTGGAACAGCAGTCTGCAATATCCTCAGGAGCTGGGCTGGCATGTCAGGTGGAGGGAGGCCATGGGAGGAGGCACACTGTGTAACTTCTTGGGAGGCATGGAATTTATGGTCAGAATTTCAGATCCTTTGCTGAGGTGGTGAGTTAACCTGGAATATCCTGGAGCTCCTGGATTTGCTAGCAAGTGAACCCTGTATTTGTAGGACTGTATTTGCAAGTATGTCCAATTAGTGAATGCATTAAGTATTTACTCTGCAGAGAGAAGTCATCCACATAGGGGTGCGTGTGATTCGAAAGCAAACATTGGCCCAAGTCATCCCTGCCTTACAATTTCTATCACAGGGATGACTTGAAAGAGCGTTCAGATTGATGTTATTTTTTTTTAAATGCCCCTTCAGTAAGTGGTCTCCATTTCCAAAGAGTTCCTGCTACAGATTTGGTGTGCTGTGTCGCTTCTTAGCCTGTCTTGATCCATTGTGTGCTGTGAGAAAAACAAAACACCCTGTGACAGCATGGTAATTTCAGCTCAAAAGACAAATTCCATATGCAGTGATGCACCTTCTGGATTTAAATTGTTTCAGTCCAGATTGTAGCGTGTTTGGAGCTTTTTGTTTTTAAATGATCCCACTCTGACCCTAATGCTCCTTAATATGTATTTTTCTTTTAACTTGCCCGTTGCTTAGAGAGATTTGGAGCTACAGAGATTTTGAACTGTGAGCAATGCTCATCTTCATGCTTTCCTATCTCGGCTTATTTTTAGACTCTGTTTTAAGCCTATCTTCTCCACCAAAATCCTTCCTCACGGACTCCCGTTATCAGTTCGTTGTGCCCCATGAAAAACTTTAAGGCTTCAATTCCCATTTAAAAGTGCCAGGGTGTAGTGGGGAATAATTTGATTTGATTCAGATTACTGAATCGTTCTCTTTATTCTGAGTTAAAATTGGAGAAGTGCTCTGCTCCTATACCTGAAGAGATTTACTTTCACACTATGACAAGCTAACAGCTATCCACCCTCAGTGCAGTCCTTCACCTGTGTTTTCTGCATAACTTTGATTGATAGAAGGCAGGTCCAGAGTACCGACCTGTACAGAGATGCAGCGGACAGCTTCCTCGGAGGGCAGGTAAAGCTGCTGCTTCTCTGTAGGAGCAGCCCAAGCATACCCAGTGGAAATGCAGCATTGTATCCTCCCCTCAGCAAAGGCCATTTCTGTTCTGACCTTCTTGTCCCAGTAAAACAGGCAACCTCCTCCGTGGACTGGCTCTTTTAATGAAGTGCCTTTTTTTTTTACTGCAGGACCTCTGGATTCCTTATTTTACCATCACAACAGACATCACAGCCTCGGCAATGAGGGTCCACACGGACGGTAAGCAAATTTGGGTTCCCAGGCCAAGGGCAGCAGAGGCTCAGTAGGCCTTGCTCCTGAGGAGACTGCAAGATGTGTACAGTATTTTTTAAAAAGCCGTAGCGACCATGATCATTCTTTATCGCAGCACTGCATTTGTTTCAAGGTCTCCTTGGTTGTATCTGACGCGGCCTGTGCCCAGTCGTTCAAGCTGCGTCTGCTCCTTGCAGAACTGACTCGTGATTCTGAGAACTGCTGTCCTCCCTGCCGCAGCCCTATAAAGAGACATCGGAGGGTCAAACCAACCACTTGAGGGACCTGTGTTCCAACGGGAGCAGGACTGCTTGGGAAATGTGCTCTGATGCACACAGGTTGCTCCCCCTTATTGCTCTCGTGGTGACTCATGACTTTGCAGATGATGATGTTCTGAGCTGTTCTGTGGTGTTTGCAATGACCAGTGGTCTAAACACCGGTTCTTACGGAGTGTGTTGAAGCTAAGTAGGGCTCAGAAGGCTTTTATAACTTAGTAAAACAAAAGTCTAGTGGCATCTTAAAGGCCAGCAACATTTATTTCAATATGCGCTTCCATTGGACCAAGCTTGCTTCTTTAGATCAGTGTAGGGAAATTGTACTGGGAGTCTTATGGGGGAAATTACAATATGATCTCCCCTTTGCGTATCTGGGCTGTGACTCACAAAAGCTCATACTGAAATAAGTGTTGTTAGTCTTTAGGATACCACTGGGCTTTTGCTGTTATTGTTGTCACAGCAGACTAACACGGCTTCCCCTCTGCAGTACCCATAACTAGCTTATCAGATTTTTCAGAAGTCTCATCCGGTCAGAGTGTCAGAATGGGATGTGGGTTCAAATTCTCCTTGGCTGTGAAGCTCACTGGGTGATCTTGGGCCAATCACTCCCTCTCAGTGTGAGTGACCTTGCATGGTTGTTGTGAGAAAAAGAACAACAAATGCCTCCCTGATCTCCTTAGAGAAAGAACGGGATCAAAATGTAATAAAAATAGTTAGATGCATCATCATAAGAACTGGAGGGGGGATCTTTGGGTGTGTTTTTTTCTTTTAAATATCATGAAACAGCTGCAGGGAAAGAAATACATCTGAGCTTCACAGGCTTGAAACAGCTATTAAAATGCTTAACAGTCTGGACTTGTAATTAACTAATTAGGGCTTTTTGGACTGCCTTATTCCCTCAAGCTCCAGTCAGGTTACAGTGGGCATGCATTACCCTTAATTCTTATGATTAGACACACATAATATTTCCTGCTTTTCTCCGGCCGCAGGATAGGCTGCTAAAAAAAAATTATTGTTAGGGTTGCTTTGTTTCAAAAAGGTGCACCTGGGCTCAGGGCAGACCTGGACTCCCAGGCCACTCTCCACTTGCAGATGAAAATTGCACGAAGGGAACACCTGGGCCCCCTACCCCAGGTGTCCAGACCTGAGCCTGTCAGGAGAGGCGGTTTGGAGAAGGGCCTCGCAGAATGAATTTCAGGGAGCAAGTCTTGGGCATCGCCACATTCCGTGGGGAGCAAAGCCAATCCACTTCTGCTGATTAAACCGCTCTGCTTTTAATGGTTATAAATTCCCTCATCGTGCCTCTCTGAATAGAAGTCACTGAGCTGGCTCCGAGAACACTGGGTTGCTGGCCAAAGCATTTCCACTGGAAGCTATTTGGCTGCTTGCTGGCCGTACCAGAGGGTGGGGGAGGGGGCGGGAGGAAAGGGAGAGAGGTGCTCAGCCCCGAGAAGCCACTGCTCGTTCCCTCACCTTGCTAGAATATCCAGCGCTTGACAATGTAGAGGCCTTCCCAGACTACAAAACAACTCCTCCCCCACAAGTTCTGGTTCCCATCCAGTGCTCAAAGCGAGAAACATGAACCTCCTTCCCTCAGGGAGCTTGGTTCATGAGGCTTTATTGCCTTATGTTCTAACAACAACCCTATGAGGTAGGTTTCACATAGAGCTGCTGACCCAAGGCAGCAGTTGTGTGTGGGTTTGAATTTGGGCTCCACCACTGGGCTCCTTCATCCCCAGGTAACGGGGGGGGGGGGGGGCCTGCAGATTAGAATAGCTTTGTTGCTGCTTTTTTTTCTGTCCGCAAGAGACCAGTCTCCTTTCTGTTTTTGTCTGTAGGCTGCCTCTGGAGGTACGTCCGGGCCAGCATGTCCCTCTCCGGTTACTTGCCCCCTCTTTGTGATCCAAAAGACGGGCATCTCCTGATGGACGGGGGTTACATCAACAATCTCCCAGGTACTGTTGCCACTGCCCATTTGCGCTGCCATTTTGCTCCGGATTTACGGGTGGATTTTGCTTCTGGCCCAGGACCCACTTCCCGCTGCATTCCCCAACGACCAGGAGTCCGTTCCGTGCTGAGACTGTGGTGCCAGGTCTTGGGGGAGGGGGCAGGGAGGAGAGAGACCAGGCCTGCACAAAGGTTGAGGATTTATATGGTGTAAGTAGAATACATTGACAGCTGCTAGGCAGAGTGTGAAGTACTGCTTCTGTATTCCAATCTTGTTGACAAGTCGACCCTAGACCAGGGGAGTCGAACTCATTTGTTACGAGGGCCGGATCTGACACAAATGTCACTTCATTGGGCCAGGCCGCATGCGCCATGTGTAATGCCAGGAGATAATTTGTTACTGACTGTGACCCATACCCCTCCTCAGCAGAGCTCGGGGCCAAACAAGTCCTCCTCACCCCTTATGGTTGCCAACTCTGGGTTGGGCAATCCCTGGAGATCTGGGGGAAGACCCTGGGGAGGGCCTGTGTTTGGGGAAGGGAGGGACCTCAGCAGGGGGTATGACCCTAATATAAGGCCTTCCAGTCCACATTTGGAGTGTTTCCCCCCCCCACTTGCTCGCGGGCCAAATAAGAGCACTGGATGGGCCAGTTCCGACCCCCAGGCTGTATGTTTGACGTGTCTGTCCTAGACTCTTTTTGTGAGTGTGTGTGCGTGGGGTGCCTCTGTAAAGGGCATGGTGCTGTCTCGAAGCTGTCCATTTACCTGCAATAGACAAAGGAAGACTGAAGTGAAGAAACACTGCCTGCAGCTCCCTTGAACATATGTAGCTTACTAAGTCAGACCCACTGGTCCACATAGCTCAGTGTTAGTTTCCTCTTCCTGGAGCATCTCTTGCTCTCTCTATCTTAAGGTTCTTTACTTGAGATGTGGATTCAACCTGGGGCCTTCTGACATGCAAGGCAGGTGCTGTATCACTGAACCACAGTTGCTCTTCACGTGGCTGCATCATAGGTTCTTGTACCATGTTCTGGGGCCTCATGCCTCTTTGAGCTTCCAGGCTCCTGATTAATGTCATGCCCTGTGCCTTTTGCTGGGATTATTGGGGTGGGATAGAGGGGCCGAGGCACATCCACCACTGTTCACCACCATCCCAGCCACTATCTCTATGGATGCAAGCTCACAGCCACGGGCATTGTTTGAAGAGGTCATCTCCCCCACCACCACCTCTTTCAGCTAACGTGACTGTTCTCATTTTTGCAATTCACTGGTTCTCTGCACTGAATTACCGTTATGACATCCCAGAAGTTTTCAATCTCTTGACCTTTGGGACTTTCCCCCCTACATTGACTTGGCTGCTGAGGGCCTCCTGTGCAGCATTCTGGAACACATATAGTCCTTTCACACAGGGCTATGGCCAGGACTGCTGGACCACGTGGTTGCTCCGTGTGAGTTGAGAATGTACTTTAAACGCACTCAGCGCTCTCTGTTTTGATTGCTCGGTCCAAGGAAAGATCAGAGCTGCTGTTCAGGGAGGCTAGTTGAGGACCCTTTACAGAAGGGCTGTGGTTCAGCGCTAGAGCACCTTCTTTGCTTTCAGAAGGCGCCAGGCTCAATCCAATGCAACTCCAGTTAAAGGATCTCAAGGAACAGGTGCTGGAAAAGACCGTTTTGTGCCTGAGACTCTTGGAGAGCTGCAGCTAGTCCTTGAATAATTCTGACTGTATAAGAACATAAGAGACACCAATGTTGGATCAGGGCAATGGCCCATCCAGTCCAACACTCTGTCACACAGTGGCCAAAAATACCAGGTGCCATCAGGAGGTCCAGCAGTGGGGCCAGGACACTAGAAGCCCTCCCACTGTTGACCCCCCCCAGCACCAAGATGACAGAGCATCACTTGCCCCAGAGTCCCTATCTATACCTTGTGGCTAATAGCCACTGATGGACCTCTGCTCCATATGCTTATCTAATTCCCTTTTGAAGCCATCCATGCTTGTAGCCACCACCACTTCCTGTGGCAGTGAATTCCAAGTGTTAATCATTCTTTGGGTGAAGAAGTACTTCCTTTATCCATTCTAATCCGACCTGTCCGGGGCTTTGTATGTCCCTGTGTTTAGAGGAGGGGGCCATGACTCAGAGCTAAGCACAGTAGGACCTGAGCATAACAGAGCTGTATTCGGGATGTCTGGGACTTCGGATCAGTGCTTCAGCGAGGGATGCCCCACCTGGGGGGTGGTGCCCCTGCAAAATGGCAATATTGGTACTCATGTGACTTCCTTATGGCAGTAGCATACATTCTATACCCATGCAAGACTGTGTAAGCGATGCACACAGAAAATCCCGGGTGTGCATTCAGAAGGTGCCAGGTTCAGTCCCTGGTATCTACTGTTAGAGGATCTCGAGTAATAAGTGTTAAGGAAGACCTTTTCTTTGCTGGAAATGCTGGAGAGCTGCTGTCCACCGGAGGAGACAAATGCTGGGCTGGATGGATCAGCGGCCTGACAGTATGAGGCAGCTTCATATGTTCATCTGAGGAACCTTCCGAGGAACCACAGACTTTCCTGGAATGTAGCTGTGGAAACTGCTCTTATAAACTGACATGTCAGGAGTGCATACTTTGCTGTGTTCTCCTTATGTGGATAATACTGCTGTAGTTAAGGGGAAATCATTAAATGTCTGCAACCAATGCCTTTAAAAATGTGGCGCTTTTAAACCCGTTTAATCTTGAATGTATCCCACAGCACTCCTTTACCCCTTGCTAAAGTTTAAATCTTTCCTCCTCTCCTTCCCCCGCATCGATATCTGAAACGGCCCTTTGTCACAGCTGCCTTTCACTTTCCTCTTTCCTTCTCACCCTTGCCTCCCCGAGGGACACTGAGTCACTGCTCTTCTGTGCAAGGCCTTTCTGTTAAAGAGATACTTTTCATGTTTTGGTTTAAAAGCAACTTCTGGGAACAGAGAGGGGGGGATATAAATTACCCTAATTCTGCTGAGAGTGAACAAATCTGTACAAGAGGTAAAATGATCCTCTTGGCATAGTGCCCACAGATGTCTAGCCTGGGAGAAATGTTAGTAGAGATGTTGCCAAACAATTGCCGCCAAGTAAGAACTACAGAGGTGTCCTGGGGGAAGAGTAGCAGGAAATGACTCTCCCTTGTCATCCCAACAGCGGATGTCGCAAGGTCCATGGGTGCGAAAGTGGTTATTGCCATCGACGTGGGGAGTAGGGATGAGACGAACCTCACCAATTATGGCGATGCCCTCTCTGGCTGGTGGCTGCTATGGAAACGGTGGAACCCCCTGGTGGAGAAAGTGAAGGTATTCATAGAGTTTCCAAACAAGATGGCTCATGATGACCACTAGCCCGATTACCTGTGGCAAACACAGCGTTGTTTCCAGGGAGCCAGGAGATTTATTTATTTATTTATTTATTTGGAAGCTGGTTAGCGTCCAGTTCTCAGCATGCTCACGAAACTACAGTTCTCATATTTCACTGCAGAGGGGAGACAGCAGCATTTCAGCGGAACCATTTTGTATATTAGTAGTGCAATTGTGCTTGGATATGACATTGTGCAATCTTCTGCTTCCTCACAAAAGCAAAAGAGGCCCTCACACTGACTCTCCCTTTCCGTATTTGGCAGGTGCCGAACATGGCCGAGATCCAGACCCGGCTCGCCTACGTGTGCTGCGTACGGCAGCTGGAGATGGTCAAGAACAGTGACTACTGCGAGTACATTCGGCCGCCTATTGACCGCTACGGCACCCTGGACTTCGGGAAGTTCAACGAAATCTGTGTCAGTTGAGCAGGGAGTGTGTCAGGGGAAGGAGTAGCCGATGGGGCAGTGGAGGGAAGGTGTTAGGTGGGGTTGTTGACTTGTAAGCCTCAAATGTTCCAAATTAGGATCCACTCAAAGGCTATACCCTGGTCAGCAGCTCATTTTTGTCAGAGGCCTTACTTCGACTTGAACAAGGGTCGAAGTACCAGCATTGGTGGTTACTCCTGTTGAATCCCCCCACAGCAACAGAGTCATTGGCGTCACCTTTTTGAGCAGGCCAGCCACTTAGGAGAAGACTGTCTCTTGTGTCCTCTGTTAAAGAGGGAGACAGAGATCCTCTGTTACAGTTTTGCCCTTTATTCACTTCATCTTTGGTATCCTGCTGTTTGCTTGATTTTATAGGTATGCAAAAGGGGTAAATTCTGCCAAGACCTCTATAGGTTTTCACACTGAAGGAGGGGAGTGGCTTTAAAAAGCCCTTGGTGTGCTTTGGAGAAATTATTTCTAGTCCGTAATACAGGTGAGGGCAGTTGCTATCATGCCTTGCTGGTGGGCTTCCCAGAAGCATCTGATTGGCCAGTGTGGGAAACAGGATTCTGGGCTACGTGGATCCTTAGGCCAATCCAGTGAGGAAGCTCTTTGTGATCTTTATGAAATCATCACTTGCCCCAGAGCCCCTAGCTATACCTTGTGGCTAATAGCCACTGATGGACCTCTGCTCCATATGCTTATCTAATTCCCTTTTGAAGCCGTCCATGCTTGTAGCACCCACCACTTCCTGTGGCAGTGAATTCCATGTGTTAATCACTCTTTGGCAACAGAGTGCAGTGTGTTTTCAGAAAGCCTGGCAGCAAATCCTGCTTCCAGGGGAATCGCTCAGGGTGCTAAAATGTTGTGTACTTCACCCTGTCACCCTGCTCAGCATTGAAGCCCAGAGAGAGAGAGAAACTCCCTGGCCATTATTTGTCGCCTGAATCTCTCATTTTATGCTCTGTAAAGTGCTGTGCAGGTTGAAGTCCCTATATAAATAATTCCTTGGTTCAGTGTGTTTTCTGACATACTGTTACTAGGCTGGGATCACCAGAAATAGAAAAATGTTGCTGCTAAAAGGGCACCCCAGGACTTCTCTGGTGGAAACATTGCATTGTGGACTGGGATGAATGTAGCAAAATAGGCAATGTAGTAATAATGGGAGCCAAGCTCGTGCTTTCATTGTAAATATTAACACAAGTTTCTAGCCCTTATGGACACAAAGACATACCTGACAGTATCGGGCAGTGTCCTGGAGACATTTCAGAAGACAGAGAGATGGCGGAATAAGGTTTTTAGTGCTCTTCTCCCCTCCGACAATGGGCAGAGACAGGATAAATTATGCAAAATAAGAGGGCCCATGTACAGTCTTTCAAGTGGTCTGATCCATGCAGCTTTCAGAGTTTGGATAGTCTTAGCACAGAAGTCTGATTTGTGTGTGTGACATGTAACTCCAGTTGAGGAGGATCAGCATTCCTATAATTGTGGGGGGAGAGGGAGATGCATGTCTGACACATGACCTGGCCATGGCACATGACCCCAGCTCAGCTGTAGTGACCGACAGTTCAATGTCCTTCCAGGAAGTGGGTTATCAGCATGGAAAGACCGTCTTTAACGTCTGGTGCAGAAGTGGCGTCCTGGACAAGATGCTGAAGGACAGGCAGGAACTCTGTCAAACCAAGCCCTCAGGCGTGAGTATCGGGAGGGGGGTAGGACAAGGGTGTGTCTGTTGCTGGACCACGTGGTTGCTGGACCACGTGGGGGACAGCAGCATCTTGGTTTTTGGTCCTGTGGTCTTGTGTGCTAGGTGGTGGCATCTTGGCTAATGCGGGCCTGCTGTGACCCTTTTCTCCCAACCCTCCGAATTTCTTCTCCTGTGGCCTCTGTATCGTTCTCTGCAACACAGTGGTTGCTGACACCCCAATCTGGGAAGTAAAAAAAAAACCCTCTATATTTTGCATGGAGGGAGCCAGCACTGGGGGTCTGGAAGATTCGAGCCAATCTGCCTTCTGGAGCCCTACCTTCATTTGCTGGTAGAATTATCAATAGGCTGATGAGAAGTAGTGTTGCAGCAGTCATCTTCTCCCTCACGATGAGTGGGGCAGGACAGGGTGAAGAGCAGCAAGGAAAGTGAGCTTCCAGGAACCCCGATGACAGCAGTTGTGGCTAAATCTGACCCAGAACTGCAAGTTAAGGCTGCTGCCTTCCACTTGGGCTTCACTTCCTGTGGCACTTGCTGATTCAGGAGATGTAGCTGTGTGGGAATTGCGTATACTCTGTCCAGTGTTCCCTCTAAGCTGAATTAGTGTGAGCTAGCTCACAGGTTTTTTTAGCCTCCAGCTCACACATTTTTGTCTTAGCTCAGGAAGGACGGCTCCAGGGCAGACCAATTTTATGCAGTAGCCAAATCGCTCGCTCACAACTTTAATGCCAGTAGCTCACCAAGTAGAATTTTTGCTCCAAGAGACTCCACAGCTTAGAGAGAACATTGACTCTGTCTCCCCCGAGCCCTGGAAGTTGCCAGCATAGTCAGATCTGTGGAAGATTTGAGGACAAGGAGAAGAGCTGCTTTATACCTTTCTTTTTGCTAGGTGCAGGAAAATATTTGGGGAGGCAGCCATGCAACATTTCCCAAATTGTTGGGGCTGTGGTGATAGCCTTAAATAACAACTGGATAGTCATCTTAAACAGAAGTGTTCAAATGTGGGTGTGTTCCACTGTGGGCTGCATTTTCCAGCATGGGGTTGAGTTCTTGTGTTTGGGGGGGGGGGATGTAACCACGTGAAGCTCGCCGTAACCACACACCTGTTGTTGTCTTCCCATCCAGATTGTGTCCTGTCCCACAACCTCTTTCACAGATCTGGCAGAAATAGTATCCAGAATTGAGCCAGTCAAGGCTGCTGTGGTGGATGGTGAGTTTACCCATCAGTGGGTCCATCAGTGGCTATTAGCCACAAGGTATAGATAGGGACTCTGGGGCAAGTGATGCTCTGTATTCTTGGTGCTTGGGGGGGTCAACAGTGGGAGAGCTTCTAATGTCCTGGCCCCACTGGTGGACCTCCTGATGGCACTGGTATTTCTGGCCACTGTGTGATACAGAATGTTGGACTGGATGGGCCTTTGGCCTGATCCAACATTGGCATCTCTTATGTTCTTATGTACCCTCTCTGACGCAAGCGGCTAAAACTCTCATGATCCATTTTGGTATGGTTTTTTTGGCAGGGTGGTGGCAGAGGTAAAACTTTAGGTGCCTGAAAAGGTGGAAAGTTCAATAGTTTAACAGTTTCCATCTTCAGAGCTTTCTAAGGAACTGCTTAGAATTTGGGCTTTATTGTCAACTGCTAGAGGCCAGCAGACACTGCTGTCCACAGTCCCATTTACCTTTAATATATTGCCCATTTGTGTTGAGTGTTTTAGTTGTTGTAAACCACACTGAGAACCAATCATGGCTGAAATGTGGGGTACAATTAAAACCAAAGATCCCAGTCTTCATGCAGCCCCATTGACCCCTGCCAAAGTCCATGAGGGTTTCTTCACATGCCTAAAATGCCATTCTGAGGAACCAGTTGTAAGATGGATCCTCTAGGCTGTGTTTGATGCTGCTAGCTTCCCTCGTGTTGCTGCTGACTTAAACAGTTTCGCCCTCTTCCTCTCATGTTCAGACGAATCTGACTATCAGACAGAGTATGAAGAGGAGGTTCTCGGCAGCCACAAAGATGACTATGTCAACTTCCTGAGCAACCAGAATGAAGAGGACTCTGACTCCGTAAGATACCAGCCAGCGGGTGTGGGCAGGGCTAGGTGATGGCCAAAGTTTAGCTCCTCAAAAGAAGCTTGATGCCTGATGGTCTCACTGGAAGCCATGTCCTGGCTCTCACTTACAAGATGAAAATGCTCTGCATGTTCTCGGGTCACTCTCAGTTTCACTACTTCCCAGAGTACTGGAGTGAACTCTGAAAATGGGCTCTGGGACCAAGTCCCGAAGGGTTTCTGCTCAGACTAAATACATCTTCTAGTCTTTCCACCTGTGAAGTGGGTGCAGTCTCTGCAGCTACAAGGTGGCAGAGGATGGATCTAGTTGGGTGTCCTGTGGCCTCAGGGTGGGTTGCTTCAGTGCTCTGCATAGCTCCTTGTTCCCCCCACACACACATACATGAGTAGCAGAAACAGAATAAAAAATAGGCATGACAAGCAAATATTTACACCATTTTCAGAACAGCTTTTGTGAATTAGATTTTTTTTTTTAAGTTACAGCTGCAGTTACCAGCATGGGAAGCCGCTGAGCTTTTCCAGGCAGAGCAGGACAGAGAAATGCATAGCGTTATCTTGGGGATTTGGAGAGTTCACCGAGCACCGCTCAAATGCTTTCAAGCCCCGAGTTTCATGACCCTAAGCATCAGAAATCTATAGGTGCCTTTGTTTTTAAATGGCAGAGTTCTCGCTGCTGGATTTTGCACAGTCCAGCCACAGAAGAACAGGCGACAACACAGTTTTATCTGTGCACTTTCCTTATTGCATTCATTTATATGGATATCATTAGTACCATCGGTGCCTTTGCAGGGGATAAGATGGCAGGTTACTGCTCCAGGGAGTTTCCCCTTATGTTTGAGGCAAAGACAGGGTGATTTCACCTTATCAGCCTGGAGCATGAACTGGGCACCCGAAAGTTGCTTCTAGGCCCCCACATGCCTGGCCGAACAAATCCTCTTCTTTTCTTGCCCCCAGCAGGACCCAGAAGTCCGACTACGGAAGCGCGTCAGCGTCACCAGCCAGGACAGCCAGGCGAGCAACATGTCGGAGCTGAGCTAATCTGCCATGGGATCCTTGAGCGGCCGAGGGCCCCACCACGTACTGCCTTCTCGCCATTACAAACGTGCCTGGTTGAGAGATGGCTGTGTCGTTTCCTTTCTTGCCTAAGGGCTGATGCTCAGCCCCCACCCCACCCCAAACTCTGCCCCCCCCCTTTGGGGGCATATCTGCAATAAGCTTCCAGTCTGGCCCGGGGCTGGCCCGTGGGAATTCTGGGACATTGGTGTTTCATTTGGGAGTGTGGGGTGGGGAGAATTTATGGCTGTCATTTTGTTCCATGAACAAGAGAGCAGCAGGAAGCGGGTTGGGCAGGGAGGCTGAGACTGGTTGTGTCTGCAGCCTAACCGGCCCCTCTCTCTTTCAAGTGCTCTTAAGCTGATATCTTGTTTAGTTCTCCTGCTGGCATCTGCAACAGAGAAGGAGAGGTACAGTTGGCAATCAGCCCGAATGGTAACGTGTAAATGAATCAGGATGTTCCTTACTCGCTTCCGACACAGTGTAATAACGAAGCCATCTGTTGGGAGTCATCTCAAGCCGGCAGCTGCGGCTTCCTCCCCTGGGATCCGTTGAAGTGCCTTCACTGGGAATCACTTTCTGCTCTCTGCTGCAGGCCAGCAAAGAGCAGCCCAGCTCCTTTTGTGCCTTTCCAAAACTGCCCGAGGTGCCTTGCCCGGTCCGATGCTTGCTCGCTTCATTCCCGCTTCGGCCAGCACTCGGAAGAAGCCTTACGACTGAGTCTGCCTGTGTTCAGAACTTTTAAAATTAAAAAAGAATCAGCAACCAAATCACTTTGTGCTGTTAACAGAAACTGTCTGTGTTTCCCCCACCCCCACCATCACCTCTGCTTGTGCCTGGGGCAGCGAACTGTGCTGTGGTGTGTGTGTGTGTGTGTGTGTGTGTTGGACTGTACGTTTTATTTAGGGTACTAATACCCCACATTCTCACTCTTAAAAAAAGTTTTCACAATGGCTTACAAATTTTAAAATCACAATATGACTAATAGAAACAATAAATTAAAAACCAAGCCGTGCAAAATTCTGCACCAGATCCAGAGGGTTTATAAGATTATGCATGGGACAGAGCAGGTAGAGAAAGTAGTACTTTTGCTCCCTTTCTCACAATACAAAAACTTGTGGGCACTCAATGAAATTGCTGAGCGGTCGGGTTAGAACAGATACAAGGAAATACTTCTTCACATGGAATTCACTGCCCCAGGAGGTGGTGGCGGCTACAAGAGGGAATTGGATAAACACAGGGAGCAGAGGTCCATCAGTGGCTATTAGCCACAAGGTATAGACAGGAACTCTCGGTCTGGGGCAAGTGATGCTCTGTATTCTTGGGGCTGGGGGGGGGGCAACAGTGGGAGGGCTTCTAGTGTCCTGGCCCCACTGGTGGATCTCCTGATGGCCCCTGGTATTTTTGGCCACTGTGTGACAGAGCGTTGGACTGGATGGGCCATTGGCCTGATCCAACATTGGCTTCTCTTATGTTCTTATGTTCAGTATAAGTAGCAATAAAACCATCAAGACTCATGGCACTTCAAAGTTTTGGGAAAGAGAATCAGTCCCTTAAATAATGCCAGATACTTGTGTTAATAAGTGCATGCAAACAAAAGCACCCCGAGATTGCCAGGTATGCCTATACTGCAGATGAGGGCCAAGGCAGGGAAGAGAGGTATTGTAAATTCATGACAGAGACAAGATTTGGGCTTGGACTTTCTGGTTCAGTCTCTCCACCAGTATCCTACATCGGTGCATGTCCACTGTCACAGCACAGAAAGGGCTTATGGCTTTAATACATCTCAATGAACCCACCCTGGTCAGTCAAGAAGTTAATGGGGGTTTGTTTCTTTCCTAGCATAAAGAACAGCTGTTTTTTGCTGACTCTTAATGTTCCTTTGTTATCAGAGAATCTGCTGTTCAAGTAGATGAGTAGGACAGAGTAGCAAACAGTTCTCTCGCGCAGCTTGATGAAACTGGACACGGAATGTCAAAATCATTCTGCTGGCAGGCGAAGAACACTGTGGTGTGTTTCACAGAGAAAAAGATGTAAGCAGCGTGTAGGCACCGGGTTCCTAGAGATGCAATTCAAATGTGACATTTCTGCCGTCTTTCAAATAAGCAGATGGATGAGTTGGGACAAGCCCCACGCTAGTCTCTAAGTGTGGATTGATTTTGCTCATGCTCTGGGGTCCGATTTGCCATAATTGGAAAAGGAAAGTTCTTCAAAAGCTGAAAGTGAAGGGGGGGGGGGGAATATTGTTAACACAGCCAGTGAAACAGACCCATCCAGAAATCGGTGCTGCAGTTCAAGTGCCTGTTGACAAGGCCCCCTCCCTGGACTCTGGAAGAGGCCAAGTTGCACAAATGGAGAACCCGCTCATGCCATCTCTGATCTTGGTGTTCTATGCTAAATGAGAACTCTGGTTTTGTCCCTTTTGCCCACCTGGAGCCCCTGACAAACACCTGACCTTGATAACTTCTGTAGTGTGTCTGGCCAACAATTACAAAACTTTCAATTGGCCTTGATTTTAACCACAAAAAAAGAAGAAGAAGAAGAAGAGATTGGTTTTATACCCCGCCCTTCACTTGGAGTCTCAGACCGGCTTACAAACTCCTTTCCCTTCCCCTCCCCACAACAGACACCCCGTGAGGTGGGTGGGGCTGAGAGAACTCTGACACAAACTGCTCTTTTTCAAGGACAGCTGTGCCAGAGCTTGTGACTGACCCAAGGTCACATCAGCAGGTGCAAGTGGAGGAGTGGGGAATCAAACCCGGTTCTCCCAGATTAGAGTCCGTACACTTAACCACTACACCAAACTGGCTCTCTGGGAAAGAAGATGTTCTTGTGGACAGGAAATGGGAACAGCCCAGACTGCAGTTGGTTGCAGGCTTAAGGTGATAAAAGAGGAAATACCTGCAGTTTGTGCCTGATGCAAAAAGTTCCAGGTTGCACTGGGGCCAACAAGGACAACGAGGCCATGAGTACTCTTCTTTTGATTATATCAAAGCCAAGCAGCCCGTGTTCAGATCTGTCTACCTCACTGATTATAGGTTTCTTGTAAGGTCAAGAGCAGAAGTAAAGGAGAAAAGGTCATACTGGCAAAGCTTGGGGTTAATTGTAAGTAACTCACCTAACACAGAATTCATAGAAGCCAAATGGAGAAAATAACACACAGACATTGGAGGCTGTGTTGTTAGCCCTTAGATTCACCCTCTTGACTGTCTGTTCTAAGTCTGTGCTCAGCAATACCCTTTCCCTCCCCCACCCCCAGTGGTACCAAACTTCTCTCTGGGTAGGAATTGCCACTAGCAGCAAATCTTTAAGAGTATCCCTACTGAATTCATTTGTACACCTAGCCCACAGTACCTGTGTTGCTATTTAGAGGCTCCACCTGGCTGCTGTTATCTCCCACTTTGCTTGTACTAGCTAGTGCAGAGATGATCAACTGCACCTTTGCAATTCCAAACTATTGCACTCAAAGGAAGGCAAGCTCACCCACTGCCCTCCTTTACCTCTCTTTGGATAGCAAGACCAGATAGAACTGGTGTGCTTACAGCGATCAGGCATCAAGCATTCAGAATACAAGAAAGTTTAATCAACAAAAATAGGCAGAACAAGGAGACACAGAAGTGGTGAAAACATACAGTCCTTTAAATCTTAAACTCTATACTAATCCCCAACAGTGTTCAATTTGGATAGGCCAGTGATTCCTGGAAAACATGGAGAGCCATTGCTGGTAGGTATAGACAGTGCTGAGATGGATGATTTAATGGTTTGACAGGGCAACATTTAATGGAGACGGGTCGTAAGTAAGAGAGCCTTTGCGCATAAAGTGTACCCAGTTCACTTCCTGATGATCTAGGGTAAAGGGTGTTGGGTAAAACCGTTCTCTGTCTCTTGAAGTAGACAATGCTGAATTAGATAGTGGAAGTCTGCTTCTTATGTTCATGTATGTATTCAAGAGGCTCTTGGGCCACCAGGTGGCTTTTGGGCTGCTCTCTTTAAAAAAAAATGATTGAAAAAGTTATAATGATACATGTAAATATGTTAAACAGAAAAAACTGATTTCAATTAGTGCCAACATAGAACATATGTGTAAAAGGTAAAGGTTCCCTTGCTCGAAAGCCAGTCGAATCCGACTCTAGCATTGCGGTGCTCATCTCCGTTTCAAAGCCGAAGAGCCAGCACTGTCCGAAGACGTTTCCGTGGTCATGTGGCTGGCATGACTAAACACCAAGGCGCACAGAATGCTGTTACCTTCCCACTGAAGTGTTACCTATTTATCTACTTGCAATTTCTTGCTTTCGAACTGCTAGGTTGGCAGGAACTGGAACCAGAGATGGGAGCTCAATCCGTCATGCGGCACACTCGGGTCTCGAACTGCTGAACTACTGACCTTCCACAGCCTGCAGTTCAGCGCCTTAACCACTTGAGCCACTGCAGCTCCAACATATGTGTACTATTTAGCAAACTAATACTCTCATATCAAAATACTATTAAACCCCAACGCTTACATGAGAAGTGCTCAAACTAGAGATGTGTACCCTAAAAGTGAAGCCATTTTATATATCCGGGATCTGAAGGCAAAAAGTCTTTTTCCATGAAGTAGTTTAGCAGAGGGAACCATTTGCGCACAAATGTGGAGCGAGAACCTTTCGAGCTAATTATTTGTCGTATTAGTAATCTTATCCATTGTGCGATGATCCCAACATTTGTCCCTCCAATGCTGAATGGTTGGAAGGTTGGGAGACTTCCAACAAGCAGCGATAGATAACCTGGCCATAGCCAGCAAGGTGGAGACCAGTTCAGAAGTGTGAACATCTTGATTGTCGTTTGTGATTGAAGAGTTAAGAAGTAAAACAACTGGATCTAACGGGATGTCTTCTGAGGTTATCTTATTAATTTCCTCCAAAACCTGACGTCTCTTGTCTGAAATACGTTCAGTTCCTCAGCACCTGTTTTTGAGATCGTTAATGTACCAGTTTTCTTTTAGTAAAATCTTTGCCTTCCTCCTTTAATTTTCCATCTGTGCTACTGGGCCTTTGAGCATGTATCTGTAGGTCTGTGCTTTTTTCCTAGTGGCTTGGGAGCCAGATGTGGCTCTTTCACGCATATTGTGTGGCTCCCGGCAGGACGGCTGGGGAAGTGAAGGGGCGGCATGCCTCCCTGATCAGTCTTCCCTTCCCCAGCCAGTGTTCCCCCCCCTCCCTGGGTAGGCTTGAGGTGGGGGGGAGCAGAGAAAGAAAGCAACTTTAAATGTGTTCTCAAAGCACCCCCTCACCAGCTGGCTTGAAGAAGGCATTTGTCTCTTTAAACCCCTTCTCTGAGCCAAGCCAGCCAGAGTGGGGGAATGGGGGGGGGGGTTTGGAGGACACGTTTAAGGATAAAGTTGCTTTCTTTCCCCCTCCCCCCCATTTATTTGCTTTCTTTCCACCTTTCTTTGTCTCTCTCCCTCTTTCTCTAACTCTTCCTTCCTCCATCCTCCCTCCATCTATTTGCTTTCTATGTTTCTCTCTTTCTTTCTGCCTCTTTCATTCTTTCCTCTCGTAGACAAATAAATATCATTAGTCAAATAAATATCATTGTCAATATTGGTTTTTACCCCTTTTGTTTTTATTTTTGGCACTCATTTAATGTTAATAAAAAGCTAATCTGCATATTTTTCAATAAAAACATGTAATATTTGTTCATATCTTGCAGCTCTCAAACGTGTGGCTCTTACATTAAGCAAGTTTGGCCACCCCTGTTCTAGTGTCACATGGAGTCGGGAAAC